CCGTTGAAATAATGCCAAGTTCAGACTGCATGATTTTCAAAGTAGTCATGTCGCAGATGTTTTCAAATTGCATGACTATCTGCACTGGTGTTCCATTACTGCAAGATGAATTGGTGACGGAGGATTTCACACTGCATGACTTTACAATGGGAAGAATCACAGACGACTCTATCCCTATTCACAAAGTGATACTGGTAAATATCCGGAAAATTTACAGAACGACTTTACCAGTAAGTTTTAAAAAGCGCTGTTCACACAGGCACGGACATTATGAAATTTTTCCGGAAAAGACCATTCACACATTCATTCCAAAATACAAGTAAATTCTGACATCATTAACCAGAAATGACTTCTAAACGGCTGCGTTTGTGTTTGTAAACATTTGACTACATTCCAAACTTTGTGGATGGAGGAGAAGTATTGTGAACAGCTTTGATGAAAATATAGAGGAACACTTTCGCATGTCAAGATGTGCATGATATGTGTGCGTGCTGGCAGCCTGGCGCTCACGGGCTGCTTCAGGGGCACACGTGACGCTCAAAGTAACTGAAGGAAGCAGAACTTGAAGGTAAACAAACAATGGCTTATCATAAGCATCTTATCGATAATTATTTACACAGTTGGCATTAAGAAGGAACACATAAACTTGTCTGACTAACATCTAGCAGCTAAATGTGTGTCGAAAAATATTTAAAGACTTTTATTCTCATAAACCACGGTAAATTACTGGTAATTTTCCGGAAAGGTCTGTATGTGTGAAAGGGGCTTCTGTCTTCGCCTGAAAACTATGTCTTGCGACCAAATACACGAAAGAAATGAATTGGCAACAATGCAAGGTCATGTAGTATATCTTTTGTTATTGCAAAATAATAATAAAGAAAGCCTTTATGGAGTAGAAAAAGTACTTATTTTGTTCATCTTGCTTTTGAAGGGAATAAGCAATTCCTCCTCAACATTTTTCTTTTTCGACCCAGTTGTGGTATTGATGAATTGTCAAACAGACATGGGTGCTTCTGCCAAATTTCCACAAGTTTTTCCTGCATTTCTTGGGTTCAAATAGACTGAAAAGAAGCCCTTTTAACTCCTCCTGCTGGCCTGCAGATACCCACACTAGTGGATGCTGCTCTCTCATGGGCTGTAGGTAATCAACGATGTTGTTTTCAATCAGAACACATTTCACACATCATGATTTGAATCGTCGACAGGTGACTCGTCTGCTATTCTTTCAAATTGCATGTTCGATAGTTTACACTGAGTGATTGTTACTTGCGTAAACGATCACAGATTTGCCTGTAAATTCAAGTATTTGTCAGCGATTTCTCAAAATCTGTTGGCGAGTCAAAATAGGGTAAAATCATGCAGTCTGAACTCAGCTTAACTTGATTTAACATCACTTTTAAAATAATTCACATATAGTTCATTTACTTAAAAATGTTAAGGCAATGGGTTTACTTACTTTAAGTAAAGTCAACTAATCATTTTAAAAGCAACAGGTTTACACACTTTAAGTAAAGACAATGAATCATATTTACATCGCATTTCAACAAAGTTTATAAAGACAGTTACACTTCACAAAGCTTATTGCTTTTATAAAAATGCTATTCACGTAGCAGGGTCTTATGATCACCAGCAGTGTTGCCCTTGCTGACTGCTGATGAACACTCCCTATCATTCATTCAACTACACATCTGCCAATGAACTAAACTACAAATCCCATCATTCTCTGCACTCGCACACCAGTTCCAGTTCCGACTAAAGCTGTTCATGGACTATTCACCTTATTGCTCACATACAAGCGGGTGCAGCCATTTGAATCTTTTTGGCTCGAGACTTCCGGTCTCATTCAATTCAATTAATTTTCAGACATTAAAAACAGCATGCTATCTTGCTTGATGTTGCAAACGTATATTTTCTCATTATATTATTTTCCTTAGAGCAAGTAGTTTGACTGTTTTCTGCCCTTTTAGTATTCCTATTCATTTCTCCCATAGGCAACTCGGAATCGGAAGTTCTAAAACAATCGCAAAAACGAGCGCACTGCACATTGAAGAATAAGGTCAATAAAAACAGCACACATGCACACATTATTGCTGAGTCTTGTTTGTAAGTGAGCAGTTTAAAGTGTTTCCTTGTTCTTGCGTTTCATGGTTTTGACCTTTGCTTTGTTTATTGTTTATGTTGTTTTTCTGCATATCCTGACTATTCGCCTGCCTTGACTATGCTTTGGATTACCTGTATGCTCCAGTTCGCTTCTGTTTTAACCCTTGACCATCCCAAAATAAAGCTGCTCATGGATCCTCATTTCTGTTGCCAGACCCACTCAATGCACAAGGATTTGCTAAATAAAACAAAGGAAATAAAACTTTCTTTAGCTCAGTACTGATAGCAGAGTGGTTGCCAAGCAACAGTCACAGGTGAATGTTTGTAGAGTATTTAAAAACAGATCGCGAATCAAGGACCATAAATATCCTTTATCTTTCTGCTTTGGACTTCAGTCTTGAGTTTTATGACAATGTAGGCACACGCCAAGTAGAGAGTTATACAGTAAGTTTTGTATTAATAATAATAATAATAAAACAAACATTTAAAAATTTCACTAAACTTGTTGCTAAACCAATGTTAATAACTATGGAAACTCATTATCACACGGTTTAAAAACTGTCCATCACTTTAACTAAATAAAGCTGTGTTTTGGGCATGATGACATCATCATGAAATGGCAGTAAGACTGATTTAGACTCTTAAAATGAGTGCCAATCATCTCTCATAGAGCTGATGTAGTGCAGTGTGTGTGTGTTTGAAAGATAGAGAGTGAGAGACAGCAAGAGAAGGAGTGGTTTATTCCTGAGGGTGTGAGCCCAGCAGCAATCTGAAGGTCACCTCCAGTCAGCTTAAACAGAGACCAACCCTCCATCCATCACTTTAAATGGCAGCGGACACTTTACTGATGGAGAGAGAGCGAGCGGGATGCACTCAAACAAACAGATTAAAAACCTTCCCATGATCCCAAACACAAACCTCGACAAGCAGTTCATTTTCTCTGTGCCTGGTATTATGCCACCGACTGCTTGTCTCCTTGTTTCAATCAGCTCTTGGACGCAAAGTAAATTCTCGGACACGGCTCCGGTCGCAGGCTAGCAGCGGCTTATTGCATGCAAAATCCTTTCCTCAACCCACCAAACACTTTCTGGATGTAATACCTTTAACATGACAAATCTGCGGTTGCACAACCTCCGAGTCAGCAGCTATACAAACCCTAACTGAGACGCGAAGGACATGATTTTATTATGATTCCACTCACCTACTCGAGTACCACATCCAGATTGTTATCATCCGATCACGTCACACTGCGAGGCTGAACTCCACGCTTACCATGAGCGATTATGTGCATCATTTACACACAGTAACGTATCGCATAATCTTGACTTTGTAGGACAGATTTTTTTTCTGAGTGTTTTTATTTGTCCACAAATTAGACTTGTAGATGGAAGCCAGCACACAACATACATAAACATCCAATACTGTCAGCAATCTATAGAGATGCTGGATGCAATGTCTGTTTTTATTTCTTGTACCCAAACAATTGTTATTCTGTGATAAATTCCAAAACTTTGTTGAAACTTAGAATTCTGAAGCCCAAATGGCATGGAATCTGATCTTTTCTATTCTGATTTGTGCCACTTTCATGAGGTATTAAATTAGATACAGATTAGGGTTGGGCGATGTCGACCAAGTTGGCATCAAACGTTGTCTAATATAAACATCTCGATGGATGATGGCATCGTTATTATTTACAGCGTTGAGTTCACTACACACCGGTGGTCAATAAGACGCGGACCGCGCTTCTTATTAAAAATCAAATCATGACAGAACACACATTTTAGGTTTCAAACACTAAAATGCACAATAATACTAGAAAAACAACCATTTACAGGTCATAAAAACACAGCGGTTGTCTGTGAAAAAGTCAATAATCATATTAAACAATCTGACAACAGGTTTTATTTACTTCATATAGTAAACACATTGTGTGCACAATTAGAGATTTTGTGTTGTGTGTAGTTGTACTTTTGTTCATTTATTTATTTGACAAATGACTCCAAAAACCTCCTATCTGCCTTAACTTATATGTTCCTCCTATGTTGACCTGAACTGGGTGCTTGCCTGTGCGTAATCAAACGCATCAAGCAAGACTAATGCAGAGGCAATTGTCATTAAATTCTGTGTCTTTGGCTCAGAAAGTCGACTTCTCCTGACAAAAGACCTGAACTAGTCTAGCGCCACTTCAGGCAGCGTTTTGTAGTTAGGAAACATTTCTCCTAAGGCTGTGATCAGAACTAAGCTTGCTGGATTCTCTGAATGTGGGATTTTCCCGATCTACAACAGCACGCGCTCCTTCTGCACCCCTCTGCATTCGTTAGTGCTCACAACGCACTCAAAAGCACCTGATCTGCTTGCCGCCGCTTGGTTGGCTCGTAACAGCTGTCGGTGACTAAGGATTTTTGTTTGTTTGTTCTTCATCGTCCACAGCATCACTTTCTCTTTTTTCTCCTTTATTATTAATATCACAACTATTTGGTCATTTAAAGAAGCTTCTCACACTCGGCTGCTGTGACATTTTTGCAACTGTATGCAGCGGTGACAGAGAGGAGACAAAACAAGGGCAATCGCCATCAGCTGGACAGGAGTGGGAATTACAGTTAGCTACAAATTACAATAGATCAACCTCAGCATAATCCGTCAAAATGACAAATCACCTTCAGATTTTTTCCGTCGCTGCTGAAAAAAATCTGTCAATGACGGAAAATATTTGGTTAACGCGACCTCTGATGTATATATATATATATATATATATATATATATATATATATATATATATATATATATATATATATATATATATATATATATACACAGCAAATTTCTGGAGTTGAAAAATTAGGAGTTAGGCAAAAAAGTGTGAAAGAGTAAATTTTTTTGAGTTTATTTTTAAACTTTAACATGATTTTGTGTTATAGGATACCCCTTGCTGTGTTGTATTTTGGAGTTCATTCTCTGGTGTTCAGAAACGTGCTTTAACTCCTTACTGGAGTTAAATTTTTAGAAAGTCCGCCATTACACAACTCTGCCGAGCAGCACATGAGAACTGGAGTTATGTTCTTCTTTGTGAGGTAGGTAAAAGTGCATTGTTATACAATTCTAAAAGCTTTTTCTAAATGTTGGATGTTTTGTAGCAGAAGTGTGTTTTGCTGTAGCTGTTTCATTTTGTACTGTGAGGCTAGTGACTGCATGTGGCTAACTTAGCATAGCATGTTAGCTTTTCCAATGTGGCAGTTTTAAAAAAAAAAAAAAATGTTGTGGATTTGAACAAGCTAACACTAGCTAATAATCTTTTCTTCCCCTGTGTTTCTAAAAATATGTGTTCTGCTGTCAAAAAGAAGTGGTAGGCCTACTTGATCAGATGGAGAAACCTGCTGTTCACATTTCAAATAGGCTAACTTACACAACGAGGTAATGTCAATATCTTTTATCCAGCAATAGAGCTTTATGTCTGTAAGATTTAATATGTGTAATATTGCTCATGAAATGTTTTGGATTGTATCATGATTTAGTCGTGACCGTGAGAGTATGCTGTTTTCAGCTATATTTACATTACATTTTCAATCACACTAACATAAGTTGTTAAATAACATTTATCTTTTTAATTTCAGGCCACGATGCTGATAAAAGTGCAATTTGGAGGCAAGAAAAAATATATTAAACTGGAAGAAGATTGTTTCTTGGATTTTTTCAGTGCGGGTGAGTTTTAGTGTAACAGAGTTTTTTTTTTTTATTATAATAATAATAACAGTCATTTTGAAATTTATTTGATAAATTATACATTGTTGTTATGTTGTAGTCCAGCACAAGTTTGTGATACCAGAGGATACAGCATCGAAAGTCACAGATGACCATGGCATAGAGGTGGATGAGGATGTATTTCAAGAACTTGCAACAACCAAAGAAACATGTCATCCATACTAATGATGGTAGGTTATTTAAGAACATTTTTATAAATTTTGAAAGTTGGTCTCATGACTCAAAGTGAAAGTGTGCATTTGTTGTTTTTTCATCAGATTTGACTGTCCTGCAGCAAGGGGCTGTTAAAGTGCCCTCCTCCCCAAGTATGACAGATACATTGTCTGTGTCAAGCAGTTTGAGCAGCAGTGATTCTGGATCTCAAATTATTCAACCTTTAATGGGCAGTGTCCAAAAAAATGTAAGTTTTTTTTTAAACTTCCATATACATAGAAATTATACCGTAAACATTACAAAATAACGTTACAAAATGAATGCATTTTAAAGTAAAACATAGTATAAACACAGTTATTAGATTTAGTTTTTTTTGTTAAAAAAAATGTTAATTTTGGTTATCTTTCTAAATACTTTTTTTTCTTCGTTTCAGAAAATCGAGCAAATTCTAACTTCAAAGCCAGCAGAGTTGACTGTGATTGAGGAGTATGACAAGATATTTTTTTACTGCTTTTGATTCCTGTGAAGTTAATTTTATATAATGTAATGTGTTGATTGTCTCATGCAATTTTACTAAGTCATTGGTTTTAGTTGGCACTAGCTGCTAACATATATTAATTGTAAATGTTTTGCTGTTAGATTTAATGCTTTGATGACAATTAATTTCAAAGTGTGTACATCGATGGAAATTCTAAATCTAATGTGTGGATTTGCATGAATAAAAGCAGTAAGTAAAGAGTATTGCGTCAGTTCAGTCATTTTCATATATATATATATATATATATATATATATATATATATATATATATATATATATATATATATATATATATATATATATATATATATATATTTGTTTGAAGTACACTTTAACTCTAAAAAGTGTTACATTTTAACATTGGTAAGAAGTTTATATTATACCCAAATGTAAAAGTACTCTCTGTAGGAATACAATTTTAACTCCAGAAAGTGTTATAATCTAACTCCAAAAAATGTGTTAAAATTCAACTCCAAAAGCAGAGTGATTTTAACTCTGAATGGGAGTACATTTGATGGTCACGCATGTACACTCAGATTGAGTTGATTTTGAATCCCAGGGAGTTTATTCCAAAGACCAGAATTTGCTGTGTATACACACACACACACACACACACACACACACACGCACACACATAGTGGTGGGCCGTTATCTACATTAACGTGCAGCGTTAACACAAGACTTTTATCGCATAAAAAATATATATATCGGCGTTAATCTATCTATTCTCAAAGTTGAGTTAGGAGCTGGGTCTGTTCTACGCAAGCTATGGTGACTTTCACCTTAGCTTTAACTGCAGTTCGGCAGTTTCACTTTGACTCTCGAATATTGCATTCATTCCCTGTGACAAACTGGGGTATTAGACGCAAATAAGGAGTAAGGACTGGTAAGAGTGTTATAAAATTTATTAACGCATGCCAAATGGAAAGAAAAAAAATTTCCGCATTTTGCGATGTGTGTGTGCGCGGTCCGGTGCGATCCTTTTCTGACAGCTGTGTGTGTGGATCTTGATGGAAAATATGGCAAAAAGTCCTACATGATGATAATAGTTTGACTGCAGTGTTAACTTCATTCATTCATTCATTTTCTTGTCGGCTTAGTGCCTTTATTAATCCGGGGTCACCACAGCGGAATGAACCGCCAACTTATCCAGCAAGTTTTAAAGCAGCGGATGCCCTTCCAGCCGCAACCCATCTCTGGGAAAAGTGTTAACTTCACTAATGCCACTAATATATGCACACTCCACTTCTTAATTCTATTTTTGTTTAGTTCAGATATGACTTTAGTCCGATTAAGGTAATCAAAAATCGCTGTTTTGAGCTTATGTAGGCCTACAGTTCAAAATTCATGTTCAACTGAATAAACAGTAAGTAAAAACAAGTATATCTTATTGAACATTATTTATTTTCATCACCAGTAGAACAGTTTCTCAAGCAGTTTCTGATGCATTTTGGAAGCAGGAGATTAGCCCCTGGTCTAATGCGCCACCCATTCTCAAAGACTTATTATTTGGGTACCCCACATATTCTGAATGTCTTTTTACAAGATTAATCTAGATTAAAAAAATAATAATAATCTATGCCCACCTATAATATATAGTGGCTTAAAAAGCAAACTTCTGAAAAAAGTGTTCAAAACGGCATGTTTTTGAAAACAGAACATCAAGTTTATTTATTATGTGTTAAAATAAAACAATGGCAAACGACAATGTGCAAATTGTGTTCTTTTACCTGGCATGCATAATATAGCATGATTAGACATTTACATCAGATTTATTCGAAAGAAGATGATTTTAATTATGACATTGTTGTCTGTATGCCAAACTTTTATGCCAAAAATGACTACATTGTAGTTTTATAAACAATCTATAAACCAAACAGGTTTGTCGGGTCAATAAAAGATGACAGAATTTTGAACTCTTATTAGTAAATGAATTATTCAGATTAAACGTCAAAACTAAAATATGTAGTTCTGCATACCTGTAAAATGTGCATAAACTTATTTAAACAAGCGGAACTGTTGCAGATGGTCAAATAATCCAGCATCTGCGTTTTTTGCCAAATACACACGGCAATGAGATACACCTTTAAATACATTTCCATTGCAGGATTTCCTGACCAGCACTCCCTTGACAGGCTTCATGTTCCTATCAATCTCACACATAAATAAACACACTCCCATTCATACTGTCCGACCACCTACTCTACTGATACAATCAAACCAGAGAAGACGAACTAGAGCCTGGACAGCACACAGCAGGATTTATAACACAAAAAGAAAGCATAACCTCAGGAATGCACCGCCTACAGCAACAATTTCTTTGATAGTCTGCTTGTCCTGACCCGTTGGCTTGCTGTGAGTGTCAGTTCTCGCAGCTCAGCATACGCTCACTAGTATGCATCAATATTTTTAGCCATGGTTATTTTAGTTTTTATAGCGCTTAAGGGTCCTGAACTTTCTCAAATAATAGCCAAGCAAACTTGATTAAATGCACAGCATAAATGGCTTTTTTTTACATGTACCAACAGACAAATATCATACTGATATCAGACATAAAGTTAAACAAACAATTGAAACAAAGAAATGTTTATAAATAATTGTAAATGTGTAAACCAATGAACCTGCTAGCTATGAGCATATGGATGAACAAATAAAAAAAACTACATTGAAACGCAGGCCGAGTGCCTTAGTGTCCCACCAGTGACGACAATTAGCCATATCGCACTGCTACAAGTGTGAAATTGCATTTATACAATGGTTGAATGGTATAATTGTGTGTATAAAAATGAAAAATCAAACGAGGAGAGTCTAAACAGCCGTTTGTATGAGGAACTACTTTCTTCCATGATTCATTCACATCTGCAGCTAACATAAGAACAGCGGAAACAGTTACTAATTCCCCAACATCACTTTAGAGCTATGTTTGAATGATTCTCTAGCGTAATGTCTAAACTGATGACAAAACAGATGATTTTGCTCACATTAAGATTATAAGGCTGAACAGCATGAAATGCCATCAGTCTAGAGACATTTCCCAGTGTTTCTCTGTTGCAATCGGGATATCACAACAATTAACCCGAAAAAGTTGAAGCAAAGCAAACACTACCAGATTGCTATGGTTTAAATGCAGCACTACAACATACATAAAAGAGAAATCAACTTAGAATATCACTTACCTGATTTATAATGATTTGATCAGCTGTAGTTTAAAATCACGTTGAGTTTTTCTTCTCTAAAAGCTTTTTTATGTGGTCTCTGTCACCATCTTGTGGTGCAACAGTCTTTGCTCTGCTCAGTATGACAGGCAAATGGCCGCTGATGCACTGTATCTCTGAAACTATGAATATTTAAAATAGGCACTATCCTCATAAATAAACTGCATAGTTGCAATCTAAACAATTACATTCTCATCTAAAAGAGACTTAAAAGTACATTATGTTGTCCAACAGCTGCAATATTTGTCAAACTGTAGTGAGTTCATTGATCTGCTGTCACTCTATGTGGGTGGAGTAATACAGAGTGTGGTTATTGTAGAATATTGAATGCTATCAGCCAATCAGATTCAAGAACCAGACAGAACTGTTATGTATAAATATTGAGTTCAGATGCAAAAACCTCTAAGTGCCATCTGGAATTTCTGGAATTCTCAGCCTTTTATATTTGTATTTAGTTATTTCATATTAAAGGCAATGAAAGTAACATTTTTTGACATAAAAGTGAAATTACTGAATTTACATATAAGACCTTGAAAAAAACTAATCATTTTAGGAGAAAATTTCAGATGGCTTAGATGTTTTTGCGTCTGAACTCTTCATATATATATGAGTAATCTGGGGTCACCACAGCGGAATGAACCGCCAACTTATCCAGCTCATGTTTTACGCAGCGGAGGCCCTTCCAGCTGCAACCCATCTCTGGGAAACATCCATAAACACTCATTAACACTCATACACTGCGGACAATATAGCCTAACCAATTCACCTGTACCGCATGTCTTTGGACTGTGGGGTAAACCGGAGCACCCAGAGGAAACCCACGCGAATGCAGGGAGAACATACAGACTCCATACAGAAATGCCAACTGACCCAGCCGAGGTTCAAACTAGCGACCTGCTTGCTGTGAGGCGACAGCACTAACTACTGCGCCACTGCATCACCCTAATTTATTTATTACTTAATTAAATCCATTTATTCATTTAAATGAAATAAGATTCAAATTAAAACTTTTTGAAAATGTAAAAATGTCTATAAAACAACAAATTCATGTAGCACAAACAAACCACATATGGTTCATCATCCAACATACTAATTCATCTTTAAAATAAATGCAATTTGGTTGCACATTTTTGTACATACTGCAAAAAAATTCATACATTTTAAATCTGACATAAATACTTCTCAAAACACTCTTATGAGGCCACTGTGTCCATATTGAGAACACGAATAGAGATCCAGGTATGTTTCACCATTTAATCTCAAATCTATATGCAGACATGCTCTACTGACAGCCAAATGGCAGGAGAGACCCATCAGCCCTCCTTTTTTCCCAAATCCACTCAAGAAGAAATATTGTCAGGATGGTGTGACCACCATCAGATGAAACCCAATCAAAGCTCTTTCACACATGCCGCTATCTCCGTCCCATTGCTTTCAAGACAGCATGGAGCAAAGAACTGTTTAAACTATATCTGTCCACACAGATATTTCACCAATAAACCCTAGTCCTTCATTTCCATGCATTTGTACATATTAATACACTTTTTTTTCTATTTGTCATTTAGCTTTGAGGCTTTAGAGTGGGCGGTGCATGGAAAACATGTCACGGCACATGAGACAAATTCTCACCAAAATGACCTACATTTGGATAATGGATTTAGAGGGTTGTGTGAGGGCATTGTGGAAAAGTGCACACACAATCACAAGCACTCGACTTGCTCATCTGTAGGAATCTCCTGAAGTTTCTCCATTAGGCAGACGCATGTCGGCTCTAATGGATTGCAGCTAGAGGCAAGAGCACAACATCCCTTCGGTATGAAAATGAAGGGTTTACAAGAATTAAGAAGCTGGAGAATGGAGTAAGCCAACACTCAGAATCAACTGTTCACCGTGTATTTGAAGATAAAAATGGCCCTAATTTATTAGAACAGACCAGTGAATCATTTCATGCTAAGAGAAAATGCATACTAGTAAACCAAAAAT